CGACGGGACGGATGAACTGGCTGCCTGTGTCTCAAACAACCAAACATTAGAGGCACTATATAACAGCTACATTGCTTGTGTTTTGCAGTTCTTTAGCCTCGGGGTAGAAACTGTCCCTTGTCTCCTCCCTCTTTCCTTTTCCAAAACAGATTGCACAACTGATGTATACAATAACTAAGCCAGTGCAAGAGTCTCTGGGCTAATAGCTGAAATTGCTGCATAAAAGATTTTTTTTGTTTTCTCACCGAAAACCCTGCCTTCCCAAAGTTACTTTTTTACTGCATATGAGGTTAATCAGAGTTTTTCAGTAGAAGCAAGCATTTAGGCACAGATTTACATGAGCTAATATCCTGCGTCACTCACTTAGTAAGCTTATTAAGGACAAATAAACAATCAGTAATACAATCATAACCAAGTAAAGACACAAATGAGATAAAGAGTGGCTCATGTTTTTCAGAAAGGTCTGTCAGGAACATGAGAGCAGTGACTGAGCTCCAGCCGATCGAAGTCAGTCCTGAGAAAACTCAAGATGAAGTTTTCTGAAGAATCACCAGCAGCGTTGCATTGTTTCCTCCTCTTGCTTTCTTAATATTAATTACTATATTAATGATCACTATATAGCCATTTTTATTTGATCTTTGATATTAGAAATAAAGAGTAGATGCAAACAACAACAACAGTAGAACAAATATAAGAAAGAAACAAATAGGCCTAGTGCATTATTTTTTTCATTTTACATCCAAACAAAAGCATTGAAGTAAGAAAAACAAATCACTTCTGTGTGTTCATTACAAATAAATTGATTATTAAAACTAGAAGCGAGTAGCCTACTCTTCTCAGAAAACGTACAAATAAAGATCGTTTTTAGATGTTTAATTACTATTTGGAGCATTAGGATTGCTAGACGAGGCCTTAATGAACTCACTTTTGTGAAAACCTGAAACTCGAGCAAAATCTTTTTTGTTTTTTCTTTTCGCATTCACACTCATTTTGCCAGACAACAACAGTAGAACAAATATAAGAAAGAAACAAATAGGAATGTGTTCATTACAAATAAATTGATTATTAAAACTAGAAGCGAGTAGCCTACTCTTCTCAGAAAACGTACAAATAAAGATCGTTTTTAGATGTTTAATTACTATTTGGAGCATTAGGATTGCTAGACGAGGCCTTAATGAACTCACTTTTGTGAAAACCTGAAACTCGAGCAAAATCTTTTTTGTTTTTTCTTTTCGCATTCACACTCATTTTGCCAGCATGGGTCACATATAATCACCAGTTCCATCAATGAATCCTTTCACGAATTGCTGAATAATTATGTGAAATCCCCAAATATAGCAGACGAGCTGAATGAGACGCAGATTCGCTCTGCCAGCAGGTGGTGCTTATGAACAGCAATGATACAGTGTTTCCTTGGTTACCGCTGTAAACAAAGCAGCGCTGCGCTTATGAACAGCAATGATACAGTGTTTCCTTGGTTACCGCTGTAAACAAAGTAGCGCTGCGCTTATGAACACTACTTTAATATGCATTGTTCAGAGGCAAGATGGAAAGAAAATACCACGTAAACTTTTCTAAAGACAGTAAGTTCCCCTCAGAGATACATTCATATAAACTTCTACTCCAATTGTATGACGATTTGTTTAACATCTCAACCGATTTGAATTGTCACATATTTGAATCGATTTTCGACCGGCTCACGGTTAATCGTTATATCCCTAGTAGCCATGCAAAGTTAAAACAGTTTAAACTTTTAGAAAACACGTCATCAATTTGAGGAGGTTAATTCCTTTTCACTGCGTCTCATATGTGTTTAAAGGCAGTCTAATCTGCATATAAAACATTAGAAATGAGATATTTGTTTAATTTTTATTTCGTGTTTGACTGTTAAAGCAAAAAAAAAAAATTTGTTGTTTGTCTCAATAAATTGAGTTAATTTAAAAATACAGTGGTTAAATGTTAAAAAAAAAATTCTATTGCTCTTTGTTTTAAAAAAGGTTATAAAAAATGTCAATAATTATCGATACCGAACGATATGAAACATTATATCGGTGATACATTTTTTAGCTATATCGCCCAGCCCTAGGATAATACACGGCTAGCTGTGCATTGAACAATTTAAAAAACCGAAACCAATTGACGCAAAGCTACGGCCCGCTTCAGATCAGATTAATCAATTATAACATTTAGCTACTTGAATTAATTATTCGATTGATCGATCGAGAGAGAGAGAGAGAGAGAGGTGACAATAGTCTGCGCGTCTCTCTACAAACAATAAAGCTGTGAGTTTAGTTTCTTAAACAGAGATATAACCCCCTTGTTGCTGATGAATATAATGTAGAGATTCAGTATCTAAGCTATTTTATTAATAAGTCGAGGGGCAGCGTTTGTGTGTGCGCAGCGTGATCTCCGATCTCACAAAATAGACATTATTTTCAGGCCACATATAAAATCATATGAATTATTATAAATATTATTAAAATCTGTACATATGGATGACAGTTGATTACAATTATAATTCAGTTTATTCCCCTCATTTAGTTTCCCCTGTGGGATAAATAAAGTTAATATTAGTCATATTAATAATGCGTCATTAACATTGGTATGGATTATCCCTGTTTTATTCATAAGTCAAAAACCAACCAGATTTTTTTCACCATGTTTCCAAGTTCTCTAAGAATGTGAAAACACTAAATACTTTTAATTAGTTCTTTTCAAAAGGGAAATACTGTCATGGATGTTTACAGAGCAGAGGTCACCCTTTCTTAATTTCAATAGGAGAGATGGCCTTTTGTTTGTCTTTATTATTATTATTTTGTGCTGTGGGCCTATTATTGGTTAATGTGTTGGTTCTGTTTCAAAAGGCAGCAATAAATAACACTTTAAAATCTAAAGAGTGTTCATGTGATTTTATACACTTGTAATGTTGTGAAATGAATAAATGCATAATAATCATGAAACCGTGATTATTCCTCAGACCAACACAATCTATAATTGTTGCATCCCTAGAAGAATTGAGTGTCATCATGAAAGGCTGTCCAAACATGAAACTTCACCGAACTGTGTGGTAGAGAGAAAGAACACACTCCTGCTCAGAGAAATTGTCTGCATTAACAGTGTTTTTAAAGGTCAGTTATTTATAAAGCTTTGTCTATATCAGTTTGTTTCATTTATTTGTGTTTTTAATCATCATAGGTCTACTTTTACTTTGTGAAGTGTCGTAAGAAAGTTTGTCTAGTAGCTTTGAGCAGTAGTCAAGCTGCATTTGCATTACTTTCTGAGGAATGAAACCCCAGTGTGACTGCAGCACAAACACTCGGAGCACAGTCTTGTTTCAGCTAAAGCAAGCGGTTCTTTCGCTTCGTTCATGGCTGTGGCGATCGATGCAGGTTCAGACCTCTCACGTTAAACCTTACTCTTTGCATTTTCAACAACATTGTGATTTTAAGGAACTCTATGTATCTGTAATCATGTATTTGCTAGCCTTGCAGGAGAGTTTGGCAGTTTTTATTTAAGAGATTTGTTCTGCATTCATGCGTTTAAAGTACTTATTTAGCGTCTTGTGGTCTTGCAGAAAGTTGTGCTGTCTTTGCTGAAGCTGGTGTGGTCCAAAGCGAGCCGTTCTGTTGTATGTATGAATTACCACCGTTTTGCCGCATTTCTCTATTAACAGTGAAGCTGTGGCTTTACTTGCTTTAGAAACTGATGCTACCAGCTCCTTGTTGAGAAAGATAATGTAGCTCTTGAGTGATTAAGCTATTTAGATGATAAAATTGCGGGGCAGCACTAAAAAGTTTGTTCCTGAATGTCTTGTGGGTTTTTTTTGTGTTAAAATGAGGCTAATAAATGTATAAAGAGTATAACTGGTGTAATGTAGCAGGTGTGCTGCTGTTTTAAGTGTTCCTCTGATAGCATTAGATGCTCGTCTCATGTGCTGCATAATGAGCGAGTGTGTGCTGGCTAGACTAGAAAAATAAATTTCATCTTCATCACTGGCTGACAATAAGAAATGACTGAATGCTATGCACTGAATGGAGTGGTATGAAATAAACTAGTGTTGTCAAAAGTACCGACCGCGATTCCTTTCGGTACTGAAATTTTAAACGCTCCCATTTCCCGCTAAGCTTTGAGCGCTGATTGGTCATAGTGTTCACACGCTGAACAGATACGTCTGTGATTAGCTTCAGTGATAATTGCTTCACTATGACCAGTCAGCGCTGTTTAAGAATATGCTCAACAGCGCTCAAAGCTTAGCGGGAATTGGGAGTATTTAAAATGTCAGTACCAAATGGTATCATGGTCGGTACTTTTGACAACACTAATATAAACCAATGATGTCTCTTCATTATGTAATGTGACTTGGCTGCTATTGCTCTTTTGATTTGCTTCAAGCGTGGAATTATATTTTAGCAGCTGCTAAAAACATTTCTGCTACGAGCGTCTCCGCAGAGATATCGTCTGCGGTCACACTTGCCCATACCGTGTCTGAATAATGAACTGCATACCATTTTTAAACTTTTTTTGTGAATATGCATTTGTGTAGTTTTAATTAGATGATTAGATTGTAACATTCAATCCATGACCAGCCCAACACAACAGCCTTGGCTTGGCCAATAGTGTGAGTTTGGGGCGGGTTCATCTGCTTGGACTGACCAATAGAATACAGGGAGTATGTTCAGAAAATCTCTGTGGAAACATTTACTTTAATGGCACAGAAATTACACCTTTTTTTATACAACTTTGAGAAGCATAATTTTTAGTTGTCAATTTCTAGAGAAAGCGCAAAATCCCATGAACAGCAATGTAAATGAAAAGACGAGAATGTACGTTCTTAAAGACGTATGTAATCTGTAAAATTAGGCTGTTTTTAAATAGAGTTGGCAAACACATTAGTAGCTCTTGTCAGTCCAACTCTTCAGTCTTTCCTTGAGTGATTGATTATATAATGGACTCACTAATGTGGTTTTCTCCTCTCCTCTCCTCTCCTCTCTTGATTGCAGAAGATGCTAAGCCAGTGCGTGTGAGCGAGTGCTGTGGTCAAGGCCGTTCTGTTTTGGCAGTAGACGAATGGCACAGGGAAACCAGCAGATTGACAACCAGGTTCTGCGTCACCTGCGGCAACAGTTTCCAGAGCTTCCCGAGGACGTGGTGTCCGAGTGTGTCCTGCAGGTGATGTACACCTGATTCCCAGAGCCTTGCGAATTTGTACATTCTTTTGAAATTCAGTTCAGCTATTAAGTTAATCGATATCAAAAGTGACACATACAGTCAGGTCCATATATATTTGGACACGGACACAATTTTCATAATTTCGACTCCGTATCAATCAAGATGAAATTGAAGTACAGACTTTAAGCTTTAAGGGTTGAACAAAAATATAACATGTAATCCTAGGAATTACAACCATTTTTATACACAGTCCCCCATTTTCAGGGACTCAAATGTAATTGGACAAATAAATATAATCATAAAAAAAATGTTCATTTTTAGTATTTTGTTGAGAATCCGTTGCAGGCAATGACTGCCTTACGTCTGGAGCTCATGCACATCAGCAGAGATGGATTTGTTTTGATTTTGAAGCCTAAATCGTCTGTTTCACTTGTATGGAGAGATCCTTTGACTGCATGATGTGCTTCACAGCAACAGCTTCCAAACGCAAATGACGCTCAGAATCAACTCCAGACTAGGGATGTTCATTTCGGTTATTTTTCCTAACCGACGCTGGCTAACCGATTATTAACCGTTAACCGACAAGATTATTTTAAATTAGAATTTAATTAAATTATAAAGGATATGTGTCTGTGACCTGTTAAAAATACTAACATTTGTTTCCCGGGGATTAATTTTACACGCGCAAAAAGCAGCAAACAACAGAACATGAGGATTCACATGGTCTGCATATGATGCCGGCTTTGAGACACTTTCACAGTGTTTCTCCTGCTCTTTTTCTAGCAAAAACTCACTCATCACTAAATGAAAGCTTAAAGTGAAGACCTGATTATTTCAGTGGCCTTTTCACAAGTCCATTGTTTTTGAATTGCTGTGTTTCTTTGGCTATATTTTCACACTTAAAACAATAATTTGGTATTCCTCTTGTACCATTGTCCTCTTTTATGCTAAGAAATAAATCTCCTGGCAGTTCTCTCTCAAGTGCTTTCATTGTTGTCAGCATTAAGTCCGAGTATGATTCAGTGGGCCATATAACACTTAATTATCAAGAAATTACTAACCTTTAACAGTTTTGGTTCAACATACTGTACTTACCTGTTGATCAATACTTGCCTTAACCTTACACCAGAAATTTTTTTTTTTAGTTTTATTTAGTACCTTTCAGGAGGGTGTACTCATTTTTGCAACACAACATTTCATCACTTTGATAAGAAAATTGTATTTTCTTGAATAATTTTGACATTCTTTGGTAACTGATCAAGCAGACTTGCTGGAATATTATATCTCTAAAAAACCATAAC